CTGGAGCTGGCCTGGTGCTCATGGACAGCACGGGGAAGGCAGTTCTGTGCTTTGTATCGCCAGCACTGCTGTGCTGGGAACGTGACTGCAGAGAGGTGACGGCTAATTGCTGCAGCGAGTCAAGGACTGTTTAAGCAGCTAATTAATTCCTCCTAATCAGCCCTTGATCTGTTGAAAACTGCATGGCATTATCTCCTCTGCTGCAACACCTTGATAATTCCTGTCTGAATGGCCTTCACAGAGAACATATTTAAATAAACTCAATAGAGATTTCAGACAGATAGCAACTATAATTACCAGCTTGTACAAATTAAAACCGTGGTTTGTTCTGTTCTTTTTCTCCTGCCTTCGCTGCCCAGAGCTCCTGCTAATCATGTTCCTGCTGCCAGTGGCACGCCGGTCCCCAGGGCGTTTTCTGCACATGCCTTCGGAAAGCCTGTGCCGGTGCCTGGTGCCGGGGTGTGCCGATGTTTCGGATGAGCCCGCACATGGGCACATGCCAGCCTTGCCTGGCGCTTTTTCTGTGCCAGGGGCTTAGTGCCGTGTCAGGGAGCTGCAGGAGCAGCCCACACACACCCCTCGGGGCTGCCGTGCACGATCCTCCCCAGGACCAGTCCTGCAGTTTCCTCCCCGTCTCTCCTAAGGTTTGCAAGCTCCTGGAAATAATAGAGTTTCTCTCACAAGCACTCAGACATTGGCCTTAAATGGCCACAGCAGCCCAGGCTGGAGCTTTCAGTCTTGGTGTTCAAGCAGTGCTGTAGATGCGTGCCCCCTACATCACTTTGGCAAGCGATTGTCTGCATTGAGCACTGCTGGATGCAGCAGGGCTTGAGCACACTTCGTTAGGAGGGATAAGGTCAGGCCACACTCATTTCCTTCAGGGTCACTTGGGACAGCCAGAAGGGCTGGCTCCTCTGGCATTTGGCAAAGGTCAGCCAGCCCTGGTGCTCGCATTTCCATTCCAGCTCTCTCTGCTTCCCTGCCTGCTCCTGGGAGCACCAGAGCCACGGTCTGGGTGCTCAGGTAAATGTAACAGCTGTGGGCAGGGTTGTTTTCCAGCATCCAAGCAGTGGAGAGCAGAGAGAAGAGAGTGTTGCTATGCTTTAGTGAGGGATTACAGTGAATCAGAAAGGAAAAAATGGATTTTTCATAACAGAAACAGGTCGGTGCCTCTGGTCCCCGTAGGTGAAATGAGGGTCATGTCAGGTTTCCTGCTTATTCAGCAGGTTATGAGCCAACTGGGGCACGTCTTCCCCCATGGGAGGTGCTTTTCAGTTCATACTTGGACACTGAATATTTTTATGCCAACAATTTGGCCAGGGCTGGAGCATCCCTAGAGATGGAGAGCATCTCCCCAGGTAAACCCAGGGTTTTGCAGGACGTGGACACATTCCCTCTACCCTGCTGCTGGGAGAGCTGGGAAGCTGGCGCTGGCCTTAACCCTCCAGTGCCTCAGTTTTCCTTGGTTGAAGGGAGCTGCTAATCCATCCCAGCCTCCCAGCAAGGCTAAATTCACTAGCTCCTGCAGGGTTTTCTTCAGATACCATGGCGATAGGGCGATGTGAGGACGTAAAATGACTGGTTTGCAACGAGATGCAAAATGTCCCTCTGTCCTGAGCCTTTGGGTTATCTGGTTTCATTGCCCATTCCTGGGGGCGAGCCACATATAGCAGCAGAATCACATGGAGCAGCACAAAGGCTCTAATTCAGAGCTGGGACTGAGCAATTAAAATGTAGCGTGTTCCAAAGCCAGGTTCCCTGGATGGCAGACAAAAAGAATCCATTTCCTTCAAACAAATACTAAATATTAATGAGAGGCCGTGGTCTGCCATGCACACGGAGCTGGAAAGAGCATTTCCCGTTGATCGCTGCGGAGGCAGGTTCATGGGATGAAATTGCTTTTCGAATGGTTATTTGTGGCCTTTCCCGAGGCGGCTCGGGATGGTTTGCCAGCCCGGAAAAAAAAAGGAAAAGGAACCTCGGAGCATTTCCATTTTCCATCCAGGCAGGCGCTGGGAGTGCGTGCTGGAGCTTTCATTTTTGTTTACGCACTTGCCCGGGTGGTTGGGGAGATGGCTGGGATTGGTTACGTAGAAATCAACCCCGAATTTACGTCTAGAAGGAAGCGATTCTCTGGGAACATCAGCCAGCTGAGCCTGCCCCCTGAACGGCCTGCCAAAGGCAGAACATGGGACCCAAGAGCATCCCCGGCTTTGCAGCCACATCCGCTCGCTGATTTATTTCAATAATGAGCATTGGGGGAAACATTAAAAAAATGACTTACAACACTCACCAAGTATCCTAAAGTGAAAGCAGAAGGCTGGGAGCTTTGGAAAAGGAATTTTTTTTTTTTCTTCTCTATTGCTTTGACCCTTGGGGAAGTCAGGAAACTTTGTATTAACTCCATTTCCAAACTTGGAAGAAAAATGAAAATGCTTCTTTCCCTACCTCACCAGGACGCACGGCTGGGGTGTGGGACTTTTCTGCCCAGTGCTGTGCTCACCCGTGGGCAGCACAGTGCCAGCCTTGGCTGGGAGGGTAAGGAGCACACAGGGAACAGTCTCAGCCCTGCTCTGTCCCACACACAGCCATGGAAGCTGCTGGAAGCACTTTGCATCCGTCACGCAGGAAATAATAACATGTCGGCTCATGATTTTATAAAACCATTAAGGCAGCTGCGTAGCCGTGGGTCGATCGGGAGCTAATATTAGCTCGAAATGACTAAAATTAGAAAATTAGAACCAAGCCAGAACTAATTAGTTGTTCAGGGAATAGAACCAGAACCGGAACTAATTAATTGCCACTGAAATATCGCCGCGGGGCCCAGTGGGTGCCGCCGCTTCCAGCCCCGCTCCAGCTTTACTGGGGATGACTCCTGTGTGGGCTCGGAAAGGAGCCCAGGGTCCCATCCGAGGGCTGTGACAGCTAAATAAGAGTTGGCGGCTCAGTCCCAGCTGTGTGATGCTGCACAGACTGGGCTGTGCTGGGAGTGATCCCATCGCCGCCCAGGCAGCTGCTGCCCGAAGGGCTCGGAAAGGCGTCCCCTCGCCCTGGCTGCCCAGATGTGCCTTTCTAAAGGTGAGGGTAATTACAGTGACCGCCTGGAGGGCTCCCAGCGGCACACGAGCTCTTCCCTCCGACCCCAGCGGCTCTGCCTTCTCCTTCGGCTCCAGCTCTGCCGCCACTGTGATGCTCTGCAAAGCTCTCTGAGTGAGCCAGGAGCCGCCATCCGTGCAAACGCTGCCAGAATAATTTCCCAGGGAATTAGGAAGTTGGTACAGATAACTGGCACGTGGCTGCATTTTTCCATCTGTGACTCGGTCACCTGTGTGGTCACTTCTTTTTACTTTCCAAAGGTGGTAACTCACCCTATATTTCTTTTCCCTACTCTCTCAGCACTCAAACAGCAGCTCCGATTTTAGCAGCAGCATGACGCACGGTGTTTTAAATTCAATTTAGAATACAAACTATTTATACCAGCCAGAAAAAGGCAGTGAAGCAGCTCTCTCTGTCATGAGTGGATTTGTAATTTCGGAGCAATCATTGCATAACTAATTGAATCAGCTCTCAGCATGTGAAATCAGTGCCCTGCTTATCAGAGGTTTTCATCGTTCCCCCCTCCTGAAGCCATCAGTCCCCCTCCACCAGCAGCACTTTGTGCTTCTGCAGCAGCCTGGGAAGAAAAGCGAGACCTGTAAAGCTGCCTTTTTCTGCTCAAATTGAGCCAATAAATTACCAGTTACATTCAGAGTAGATGAAGAGCTGGGTTGCAGGTGCCCCCAAAAGCTGCCCAGGCTCCATGCGAGGGAGTGAAGTGCATTTGAAGCTAATCAAGTGCCAGCTGTGTCTGAGAAGCAAATTGGTGCTGAGATGTTCTGCTGACTCCCACTTCCTGCTTCACTGCCCAGGTGTGCTCTCCTTGGCTGGAGTTTTGGGTCTGATGTCTGATCCAAACCTCCGGCTTGGCACCTGAAAATGGAGCCTAAGAGGGGCGATAAATACAGCGACAGCTTTCCAAGGGGTACAGGAAAGGTAGAGAACAAAGTGTTTGTAAGGAAAGGTAGAGAACAAAGTGTTTGTAAGGATTTTTATCAGCTGAAGGTGCAGAGCCTGGATTTGGTGGTTGGGGTGGATCTGGTCCTGCGGATTTTGGGAGCAGCTCCAGCCACCTGCATGCAGCAGCCTCCTAGGGTTAGAGGGCAATTCCTCATCTGTGGGGAGGTTTGGGCAGGGGCCCATCAGCATCTGCAGAACGCAGAGCCGAACCTTGCAGCAAGGGAAAAGTCTGCTGTGAGGGATGTTAATGCCTCCTCAGGGATGCTGCCTGTGTACGTGTGAGTCCTGGGCTGTCACTGCTGTGCTGGGATGGGTGAGGAGGGCAGGTGAGCCCTAATGGCTGCTGAGTGCTAATTAAGTCCACGCTGGTTCAGCTGGTACAAATGGAAGCACTTCTCTGGGCAAGGCTGGCAGATCTTTTCTTGGGCAGGCTTGAGGGAGCGCTTGCAAATTTTCTGGATGTGCACCGGGAAGGGTTCTTCCTGTCAGGTATGATCCCTGAGACCAAGACTGGACATAGGAGGTGATACATCCCAGAAGATGACAGCTGAGTGTCCCTGTGGTGCATCCCCTCAGGGATCTGTTTTCCTTCTTAGCAATGCTCTCGGCCTTGCTGGACACCAAGCCTCATATTTCCCAAAACTAATGTGTAGGGTTTTTTTTTTTATTATTTTTTTCTATCAGCCCAGGTCTTGATGCTGCTGGCTGACCTGGTGTACGAGGGCATATGCAATGCAAGCAGGCTCTGGCGTGGGTGGGAGAGGGAGCTTTCATCCCCAGGCTTGATTCAAGGCATGCCCCATCAGTGGCTTCCACTCGCTTCTCGCACAAAGCCCCACAAAGTGTCCCCAGCATGTGAGGCCAAGGCTGTGGGATTCGGGCTCCCAGGGCAGCGTGTGCCAGGCATCCCCAACCACCCACTTTGTTTTCTGTTGTCTCTCCAGGTGGCCAGATGGGAGCACAAAACACGAGTGTTCAGCCGAGTCTTTGGCTCTGCACACGCTGCCTGTTACTGCCTGGGCGCCGTGATCCTGCTGCTGAACTGTGTGAGGAGCCACTGGTAAGGAACTCGCCCTGCTGAGGTGTATCCACAGAAAGAAATGCCCCTGTGGAGCTGGAGGGGGGGAGGGGATAAGGGATATTTGCTCTGCAGTGTCGAATCCAGCCCCAACGCATCGCTTTTCCGTGGTTGGGTAACTCCAGCCAGCAGCAGATTTATTCCAGGGTTTGTAATAAAGACAAGGGATGTGGCAGCACGGCCAAACCCATCTGTTTCACCAGCCATTGAGTGTCACAGGTTTCCTTGCTCTGCTCCCTGGGGATGTTTCCTCTCCTCTGTGAGCAGCCCAGGTGACAGGAAGGCTGTTTGCACAGGATGGATCATATGTAACAGCAGAATTTTTCAATTTTCTCATAAAAATCATAAACAGAATTAAAGCTGCTTTTAAGAAGCCGCAGTTTCCTGTGCAGAAGAGCGGGATTACCTGTGCACTTAGCAAACAGTCTCTTGAAACTCTTATCTGCCATCTCTAAACACTACCTGTGCTTGCTAATAGTATTGTGTGACTGATACACCGTACACCATGGGAATATGTCCTTTAGTGTTCCCAGTGCAGCAGAGAGGTTTTACTGCAGAAGATTTCCTCAATGCCAGCAATTTATCTGTGATCTGGTAGGCTTTATCTTCACCGCTGTTAGTCGAGACAGACTCACTAAATTCCCAGATTCAATTATACCAGGGTCAGAGCTAATGGGTTGTTTAGTACTCTGGGTAATTTCCCAAGCGAAGAGATCTCAGGTTGGAATTTGCACATGTATTTAAGAGCTCTGCCTTCCTGGAAATGACACCAGGACCTGCCCTCGCCCTTCTGTGTTTGTCCCAGCTACTGCTGATTGCAGAAACTGTAAGAAAGCTTGCAGTGAACAGGTCTGTAATCGAATGCAGGCAATTCAGAGGGCATGTGTGTGTGCTGCTGATGTCTCAGTGACACAGCGGGCTTGGATTTCGCTGGGGAATGTCTCAACAGTCTCTTGCACAAATTACATAGTCATTTGTTGTCTGGGAAGCGATGCAAAGCCTTGTCCTTGCCTTTAATTAAAAACATGGCTGATGGAAGGACAATCTCCGCTCCCAGTGGTTGTGCTGGCTCCTGGGTCAGCGAGGCTTGCTGGGTCACTCACAATACACTGAGTGGGAACTGCTGACAAGATCAATCCAGGGGGCTGGAAAAGCCCCATCTGGACCTTAGTTTTGGAGGAGAAAAGATGGGGCAGCTCACCCCCAGCAGAACACAGATGAAATGCCAGCCCACCACAATGGGCCAAAGCCTTTCAGATGACTGCAGTGGGAAGTTGATTTTGCCCAGATGTTTCGACGTGGTTGGGTTATTCTCTCGCCTTTCCTTGGCACTGAAGTTGGCCTGAGTGATGACCAGCAGGCTTTGGAGGCTGTTCAAGCCAGGCAAGCTCTTAACTGTGGAAGTAATGGGATGGTTTCAGGGGGATCATCAGAGCAGCAACTGCTGCAGTTATCCCAAAACACACCTGGGAGACTTGCTGCCTCCACTCCCAGCTCAGCGAGCCTTCCAAGGCTTACCGCTCAAGCCTGGAGAGCTTTTGCTTCCTGGGAAGGATTCATCTTGCCCCTTGGCCTTGCATGAAGGTGCCAGCCAGGTGCAAAGTGGAGTTCAGCTGACCAGAGGGGTTTTGTACCACGCAGGCACCATCATCTCAGTGGCCAGGGACGCTGTAAGGGACACATCTCACCCGCTCTTGCTATTTTGTTTTTCCCTTCATTTTATTCTCTGAGTCACTTGTACTGGGCGTGCTGGTGGGGGCAGGTTTGCCCCTCCTCAGCCCCATGGAGGCTGTGCTCTGCATAACAGTCAGGGTTGCTTGTGCAGAGCGTGCAGGCTGCTGATAGCGAGCAAAAAGGCAGCCTCGGGGGTCCCTCCACCCCCAGTTACTGTAATCCAGCCTTTAAAACTCCTCTCTGCCTCCTCTGGGGAGTTGTTATGTGGGTGGGGGCTGCCAGGGAGCGATGAGGAGCCCAGGGGACGTCTCTTTTGGTTTTAAAAACCTGCTTCCTTTCTGCAACTGAATTTGTGAAAGGCTCCAGGCTGGGGGCGGAGGAGGGGAGGGCAGAGCAGACAGAAACTTCGGGAGTGGGTTGGAATTTCGGCTGACAGGGAGCTGGGCTGTGCTGCTGCTTCACCGCCCACCCCATGCGGGGTCTATGCCGTGGTCCTGTCCTCAGCTGGACATGATGCTCTCATGCCAGTTTGGCTCTAAAAGATACCTTGTGTGTAAGAAGAGGGATGTCTTCGTGCTCCATTAAGCAATTAGGTGCTTCCCAGCTCTGAGCTTCATTATCAGCTTGCTATCTTGGCTTGCAATCCGGAGTGACCTGTGACCAGGTGGGACCTGCCTAGTCAAGTGCGCAAGACAAGCATCCTTGATTGCGTGGGTGCAATGATTATTTTCATTACAGCCTTTTCTTTCTGCAAGAAGCAGGGAACTTCCATCACTGAGACTCTTATCTGTGAAAACAATTCCTGAACTTTTGAACTATCTGCACCACGTGCACTGGCCCGGCAGTTTGTGACTGTTATCTGTGTGACATGGGACGTGACAACCTTCCCCGTCCTCCAGACTTGCATCCAGTGTCGCTCTCTCCTCCCTCACCACCTTGTTGATACCTTTCCCTGCATCAGCTCTGCAATTAGTTGCTGGTGCTGCCTCTGAACCCTTCTGTGCTGCCTTTGGCACACACTGGCACACTGCCCACCTCAGGGCAGGTACGTGGGAACTTCTGTTTCCCTGAGCTTAGAGGCAGCACCCACGTGCACACCCTGACAGAGGGCTGCAGGGGGTTGGGGGGCCCAGGGCTGTGATGTCTCAGTGGGAATAAATCCCAGAGAGGCAGCGCCACTGGCAACATGCTTGGTGGTACCACCGATTTCTCACTTGGAGGTGACACTTCCAGGAAAATGAATCCACCTTGGGATGGGGTTTTGCACAGGAAAGGGGCTGTTTGTCATTGCCAGGTAGTGCCTCTCATGAATGAGCGTGCTGTAAACTGCATCAATCGCAGAACCACGTGGCCCTGTGTGCAGAAGTGACCAAGTTCGCTGATGGGAATCGAGCTTGGCCTGCTGGAGCTGATGCCCCTCCGAGCCACGCTGCCGACAATCTCCGATGGCTGTTCGGGAAAAGCCCCAGGCGGCCGGCGGCACCTCCTGCCCATGGCATCTGCATGAGGGAACCAGGCAGCTGAGATGGGAGGTGGGGGGAGAAGCTGCCACAGCCCCTGGCTGACCTAAATAACACACACACACCGGTGCTGTCAGAAAAGCCAAGTCATTAATTGGCAAAAGAAGCTGTGAAGATGATGACTAGGCTGACAATTGCCGGTGGTATCGGCAGGACGATTTCAGTGTTGTTGAGGTCGCTGTTTTCCAATGAACAAGATCTTTTGTTGCAGCGTATGCTGCTGGGCGCTACTGGGTGGTTTTTATCCCCATTGCCTCCTTTAGCTGAGAGGAACAAAACCTCAGGCGTGGGGATGAGCCGAAGTCCCACACGGTGACTGTGGCACCTTGCAGCGGTGGCTGTTGTCACCAAAACCCTGGTCGCCTGCACCACGGCTGCTTCCTTGCTGCCTGCTGGCCCCTGGCCCAATTCTGCCCCAATTGCACTTGCCAGCCCCAGTTTCCAGGCTGATTTTTGGGATCAGGCAAAGGAAGCGCTGCTGGGCTGCTCCCTGCAGCGACCCAGTTTGCTGGATGAGGTCTTTGTCCTGCTTTGCAGGAGAGGGATGACGAAGTACACTCGCTGGGGGCCACCGAGAGAGGCCCCCAGCAAGACCTAAAAAGCTCAACTCCTCTCTTAGTGCAGTGTTTCCAGGTTTTCTTCTTCATGTGGCCTTTGGGGATGTGTTTTGGGCTTGGTTTCTTAACTTTTCTGGTTGAATAAATCAGCGCCTGCTTGTGCAAACCTGGCTGCAGGTCCTGTCAGTGCCCCAGCCAGAGGATCTGCTGCCAGTTTTCTTCACTCCCACTTTCTTCCTGGGACCCCACCAGCGTGAGTTGTCCATCCCCACATTTCAGAACCATTTTGAGTGGTTTTCCAGTTCATGGGGTTTATTATGTGGTAAACAGGGAGACAAGAGATTCTGACTAGATATAAGGAAGAAATCTTTTATGAGGAAATGTTTTACGGGAAACACAGGCACAGGTTGCCCAGAGCCGCTGTGGCTGCCTCATCCCTGGAAGTGTTCAAGGCCAGGTTGGATGGGGCTTGGAGCAGCCTGATCTAGTGGAAGGTGTCCCTGCCTGTGGCAGAGGGTGGGACGGGCTGATCTTTAAGGTCCTTTCCAACCCAAACCATTCTGGGTTTCCCACAGAGCAGCAATGTCGTGACTGTGCCTGAGCAAGCGCCCCTCTGTTTTGGGAAGGGTGGGCAGAACAATCCCCGCTTCCCTGGCTGCTCCCACTCTGCCAGGAATTGGCTAAACCTGCCAATATGGCAAGAGCAGAGTTGATGGATTTGGGCTTCTCCCAGCTGGTGGAGAGTGTGTGGCTCTGGTGTCACCCTGGCAAGTGCGGGGAGGTGTCAGGGGAAGCCCCATTTCCCCAGTTTCTCTTTTCCAGTGCTGGGGGCACATTCCAGGCCCCTCCCTGGTGGCAGCCATCCTCATGAGAGCAGCCAGGTATGTGATCAAAGTAGGTCGCAGCCCCCTCCACCCCTCCCCTGCGCTGGTACGAGGGATGGATGCTCCTCACCATGGCAATCGCTCCGCTCGGCACATAAAGCAATTCCAGGTACTGGGACAAAGCGTGGATTTAATTGATGTCCTCTTGGGTGCTGAGCTGCGCCACTGCCTTGTTGTGCAGCCAGAAATAAATGCTGTAGCAAACGTGACTTAGAGGCACATGAAGAAAGGGACTGGCTTCACCGCTGGCTCTCTAACAAGGGAAATGCCCAAAACCTTGTCTGTCCCTACCAGGGAGGGAGGGACATGGCCAGGGAGGCTCTCTCACCATCAAGGAGCAGTTGTAGATGCTGGAATAATTGACGGCTCCGTGCTGCTTGTCATGGCCCAGCACCATAAATGCTTAAAAGGTTTATTTACCAATTCTGAAAACTCCTGAGCGCATCATGTTTAATGCAAATAGAGAGTGTGTTTAGGAAGATATAAACCATTCCTAGAGGGAAAGGCAGTCCATTATCTCTGTGCAAACACCTCCCTCTCTAGCTGTAAGCCAAACAGCAGGGAACCGAGGGAGACATGCTGATGAGAATAACTAATGCAGGCCTATCCGACCATGGAAAGGAAGGATGTGATCATCTGGAGCAGGGGAGACAGCTTTTCCAAAACAAACCATATACCATGTGCTGGTTGCAAAACTTCCAGTGCTGATTCCAAGTCAACCAGTTCATGCTCTTGAAGCCACTTTTGTTCCATGTTCCAAGACAGAGTCAAGTCCCCAGCATCAAACAGAGGAGCCTCAAGGATGTGAGACAGTGCGAGTCCAGCTTATCCAGAGCAAGAAGCCTCTGAGGGCTGTGCTCTCACTGTACCTCCCTGTGCTCTGCCATCTCTTCACCAGGGGCTGGGACAGAGGCAGATTCCAGCCTGGCACTTGCCTCCCCAGGGATCAGCAGCAGCGATTTTTAATCTCTCTGAGATACTTCCCAGTGCTGGTACCCTCTGGAGAGGTCCTGGCCAGATGTGGAGTCAAACCCCACTGCTGTGAAAGGCGTTAACATCCTCTGTGACCAAAGAGCTCCAGAGCATCCCCAGGGATGTCAGGGTGTGCTGTGAGTGCACAGCCAGGCCAGGATTCCTCAGGCAGACGGGCACATCCCTGCAAGGGGATTGCTTTCCTCCCAAACCCAGTCAGTGCTGGTAGCAGGGACGTGGATTTTTTTCGGCTTCCTCATAGAGGAGACTTGTGTCATTTAAAAATAAGCACTGGGGAAATGATGCAAAGGGGCGTGCAGCTGCTGTTGCTTCACAGTGCAGCCAGATTTGTGTCTTCCCATCAAAAATGATTTTAAGCTTAGCCAGTGTGAGCCTGGTGATTGCAGAGAGCTGTGCTGGGTGCTGGAGGAGGGCCAGCCCGGGGACACCATTACATTGCCTGGGGCCATGTTGTCATTCCCTGCCTGTGCTTGGCTCCCTGGAAAAGGGAGCTTCCCTGTAATTTCCAGAGTGTAAATCACCAAGATGTGTTCTTGCTCACTCTCAAGCACGTTACATTTATTCCCTGTTTTGTTTCCTTGCTTCAGTCCAAAGTGAAGATTAAATGTCTTGCTCTGGGGTCCTAAAAACCTCTCAGCAATGGAAAGTCTAGTAGGAACAAGCTCCAAGGAGTATAAGAAATATCATCAGATCCCTAAACCGCAGAGTTTAAATATTATCCTGGACTTGCTTGGTGCTTTGAACTTACCACCATTTGAGCCTTCAAAAGATTTCCAGCTGCCTTTCCGTCAGCCATGGAGGCAGGACTAGCTGTCTCTTTCAGTTTTCATTTGGGCAACAGAGAAAAAATGCAGGGATTTGCAGTGCTTAGAGAAGAGGGACATCAGGGAAAAAAACTATCCCAAGCCCTGCAGATAGCACCATGGAAGCACTTTCCAGCCGAGGAGCCTGGGACTGCGGGCGGGAGCACCACTCCTGGCCCGCCACTCACAGGCAGCAGTGGCCAGAGGCATGGGAGAGCTGTTATTCCACTCGAATTTCAGCCTCCAGGGTGCTCATTAAAGAAAGGCTCAGAGTTTCCTACCTCATGTGTCAACAACATGTGGAGAAACGCCGTGTAGAGCTCTGCGGGTCTGTTATCTCCTCTCGCTGTTATTAGTGGTGTTTTTTTAATCGCAGCCTTGTCTCCTCCGTCACCGTGCGTTTGTGTCGGAGCCATGTGCGATGCTGAGCCTGCCAAGCCCGGCTCTGGGCAGAGTTCAAGGGGCTGAAGGGAGGGGTCACCGTTATTCCGCTCACAGACGAGTGTTTGGAAGGTCAGACCCGAAATGCCTGAGCCAGCCTGGAACGGAGGAGCTGTGTTCGCACTTGAAAACGCCTCGTCTCTCGTATTTTCCTTTCGCCGTTCCAATCCTCCCCCTGACTGTCAGGCTGCGGCCGTGAATCACTCCTGGGCACGTGGCTGGCACATGAACGCTGCAAAATATTTTGATGGAGGGGAACGGGGGCGGGAGCACGAGATAATCCAGCCCATTGTTCCCAACCCTTCCAGCCCTGTGCCGAGGCATCGGAGCCTCCAGCATTTGCAAGGGCGCCTGTCCCCGAGCTCCCAAGTCATGATGGAAGCTGGGATTCGTTGAACCAGACAAAGCTGTTGAAATCACAAGTCAGGAGGTTGGTGTTTCCAGGAGTGAGCAAGGGTTGTGAGTAGAAATAGGTGTCCCGGGTCAAGCCCTGGCTGCTCACGGAGTTTGGCTCTTGCTTCTCTTTTTGGGAGGCTGAGTAGGTCCAGGGGGGAAAAGGGATCCAGAGAAGCGACTTCCTCAGCAGCATTCTCTCCCAAAGCTCCCTCTCTCAGGGAGAGGTGGGTCATGTTGGTAATGAGTTGCAGTTTTAACAGCCCTTGTCTCTCCAACAGCTTCACAGAAGCCATGAAGAGCCAGCCAAAGCTGGAGGGCTGGGACTGCCACTGGACCTATTACTCAGGCTTGGCCATCTCAGCTGTGGGGACCTTGTTTGTCATCTCCAGCTTCTTAGCACTGGGATTCACTGGGACGTTCCTAGGTAAGCACTAAAAATCCAACAGCTTAGCCAGAAAGTGCATTTAATCCTTGCAGGGACCTCATGCTAGGGCAGAGTCCTGTAGGAATTCCCTTGTCCTTGCCTTCGGGGCTTTATGATGCAAAGCATGATCTAAACCATGCTGTTACCTCACACGGTGCAGTGGTTTTATACAGCAAGTCCCATCACCTTCAGTGTTAAGCCTGAAAGTTTGGAGCACGGCTGATCGTCTGCCAGTCCAAACACCCTCCAGAAAAGGTGCAAGTGCAAGACCCAGCACGAGCAGCACCGGCACAGTGGGTGCCAACTGTCCAGCAGCCTTGCCCTGAGCACCCACCTGCTTGTCACACGTGCCAGGGCAGGATCTGTTTTGCTCTTCCCTCTGCAATAAACCTGAATGTTCGTTGACAGATCCTTTTATCTGCCACTTTATGGCAGAAGGCATTTTTCCACTGCGCCTGCTTTCACATTTAGAGAGTAATTCTGTTAGCGTTGTTGACTTTAAAAACATGCCAGTATGTGTGGAATTCATAAAAATAAAGTAGAGACAGGAACAATAAATATCCAAGGAAAGGGGCAGCTCCCGCTGGCTGAAATAATCACAGCCCCAGCTTTGACACCGCATTTAGGCTGTGCTTTTGCAAGTGCTTTACAAACCAAATTCAATTAGCTCCCGTGGCGTCGCTAGGAAGAAGAGAGGGACGTAATAAGCCTTCGTGGTTTCAAGTGGAGTTGCGAAGAAATGTGTTGAGTTGGCCAAAATCCTGCTGCCAGAAATAGAGCTCAGCACTCCTGGATGCGTCCCCTCACCCTTCACGTGCAGCCCTGTATCACACCCTCAGCCCCCCGGGCACCAGCATCCTCCAAAATCACCTGCAGCCTCCCAGAGTGATGCTGTGCCTGTGGAGACACGTCCAGAGAGGCTGGGCCACAGGAGCAGCCGCCAGCAAGAGCTGCTTGAATGCTCCTGAAGCTCAGCCAGGTCTGGAGTTGTTTACGTAAGGCCTGATTCATCCGACCAGGAGGATCCACTGGACTTGAACCGCTGGGAAAAAGCAAACAAGTGACTCAGGCTCAGCGTAAGCGGTGAGAGGGGCCCTGTCCCCTGGCTCTGTGTCCCCCAGGGCAGGGTGGTGGGTGTTAGTTGTCCACATGGGGCATTTCTGCTCCATCCACCTTGCCAGGAAAGCTCTCCCCGGAGTGTCCCGGGCTGAGGCCGAGCCTTGCATGACGCAGCAGGGACCAGCTCCCTCTGCCAGCAGTGCATGACAGGCGACAGGGCAGAGCTGAGCCAGGGTGGGGACTTCACCAGACCACGTGCTAGTGCAGCCAGGCTGGCCTGGGACTGTGCAGCACCGAGGCATGGCCCAGCTGGAGCCCCACAGAACATCCATCCCTGGACCAGTAACAGCTTCTTTGTTGAGTCCATGAGTCCAAGTCAGCAAACTCTTAGTGGAGAATGCCCCTCACCGTGGATTCTTAGCCAGCCAAGGTCTCCAAGGATCTCTCATGGGATATTCTCTTGCTCAGGACTCACTTGGGGTTGTACTTCCAACGCCCTCCTGCATGCAGGATTTTAGTGCTGCGCTGGCGCTGCGGGAGGAGCAAGGACTGCAGGTAGCAAAGGGCTGCACTGCTTTGGCAAGAAGGGGCATCCAGCTTCTTCTCACTATTGATATCTGAGCACAAGAGAAGTTCTTAGAGACCTCTGACACACGAGTATTTCAAAAATTACCGGAACAGGATTTGACCCTTACTCTTTCAGTTTTCCTGCAGCAGCAAGGGCTGAACCAGGGAAGGCACAGAGACCACATCAGGTCTGTTGATGTTAGATTCCCTCTTTACAGCACATCTGAGCTTTGGAGCAGCTGCAGAACACTTTGTCTCTGAAGTGTGGGCTAAACGGTGCAGTGGGAGCCGTGTGAGTCACCCTTCTCCAGCAAGCCTTGCTGTGCCACCCCATCTCCCAAACAGCAGCACCAGCACCAGTCTCTGTTTGCAACAGCTGGATGCAGCCTCTCTACCTGGCAGATCCATTTCCTGGTGCCCTGTGTCTGTGCCATGCCCTTGCTGGGATTTGGGCATCACTTCAGCACCCTCCACCTCGCTGTTTGCCCTGTTTCCCAAAAAAAAAAAACAGTAACAAGGACTTGGAAATCCTGAGGCCCGAGGGCACAGAAAGTTGGCTCTGCCTGCCTGAGCCCATCTGTCTTGTACCCCAGTGCTATTCTTTCCAGCACTGACCAAGAGTTCAAGTCAATATGACTTGACCAAAGCCTGTTACTGGGCTTGGAGAAGCTGATGCTTCTCCAGAGTGAAGGGGAGGTGGGTTTTCAGCCCAGGTCAGGCTCTAGAGACCGTGAGGGACCTTGTAGAATGCCCCAAGTGGCTTTTTGCTGCTGTGATCCCAAGTGCAGTGAGATGGTTATACAGACCTCCAGCAAAAAAAAAAAAAAAAAAAAAAAAAAACTCCAATTAGCTGCTGAAGTTCCTCAGCTTGACAAGAAGCTGATTTCTGGTTTGGGAGCTTAATGGAGGCTCAGGAGATGCCCGGGCTGATGCTGTGCAAAGCAACGCACAGTCCTTTCCCGTGAACATAAAAACATATAAACCACCTCTCTGGTGGTCATGATCATTGAACTGTGCAGATTTAGAGGAGAGATTACATTGGAAAAACTGCCTGTGTGCTCCTGCCTGTGGGGAGCCTGCCCAGAGGGTCCCACAGCCCCAGCAGTGCCGGGCACAGAGAAGCCCCTGCCAGCCCCACGGACCCAGGGCTTTGTGTGAACCTCCCCAGTGCCATGTGGGGAGCGAGGTGTTCAGCCCAAAGGCAAGGGCGGGCAGAGGATAATGAAGCATTTTGACACGTAAAAAAGCGCAGAAATGGGCTGTGGCAGGGGGTGATGTGTTCTTTCTACCAGAACAATCTCAGAGATGTATTGCCAAGTAACTGTGAGAACATATAGTATGAATACGAGGCAATTATCTCACTTAGTGGCCTGTAGTTAAAGCCCAGAAGCATTGTGTAATTGGGCAGGGGCTGTTTATCCTTAGAAATAAATGTTTTAGCACCATGTGAGGTCAAAGAAATTACACTGCGATCCAGGTAATAATAATAACCTTGAATAGTTTGCTCTCCTGTAATGCCTTTCATCTAGATTTGCGAGCACTTTCTCACCATACATTAATCCTCACCCCCCTCTGTGCTCTGAGAAAGACTGATATTATGATCGGTGCACAATAGCACCGGGAGGGACGGAGGAGACTCGCCCAAGGTCAGGGAACAGGCTGGCAGCAAAGCTGGGAGCACAGCCTGGGGTGGTGGCAGTGCCCTGGGCTGATGGACCGGCACTGCTCCTCACGGGTCAGTGCTTGGCTTGTGCAGTGGACGAGGAACACGGAGTTGTTGTTACACTGGACGTGGAACCAGTGGACCAAAAGGGCTGTCCAGCCCTGGCACAGGCTGCCCCAAGGGCAGTGGTGGAATCGTCATCCTCGGAGGGATTTAAAGCACTTGCAGATGTGATGCTTTGTTGTCTCACTTGTAAGACCAGCACCAACCAAAGATCTGCATCCTGGCCCTTTACCCCCCCTCAAAATGCTGCTCACGAGCTGCACATCTCCTTGCTGTCACTCCTTTTCCAAGCTCCTTTTGGGAGGGTGGAAGGATTGCTCCGAGGTGGATGGGGAGCTGGTTGGATTCTGACAGTTCTGAAAGCTTTCCTCGTTACAGATGACAATCACCTATTATCATCATCATCATCGTGCCAATAATTGAGTGTTTTGTAGGCAGAGGTGCTATTTTCTGAAATTCTGAGAAATTCTCTGAACTGCGAGATGAGGGTGGCACTGGATGAGGGCATTTGGTGGTGGCTGTCGTGATTATAACCTCTCCAAACACCATTACAGGGCGCTGGGCTTATTTTCCCATTAAATGGATTTGATCCTATGCACTTACTTCCCCGTCAAGTGGCGTCCAACGGGCAGTTTTCAAATGAGAAAGGCAGAATTGACCATTTGGGACCTCAAGAGCTGCCTCCTGATGAGGGATGCCGTAACCTCCCTGCAATGCAGGAACCTTCCTCACAGGCAGAGAGCCGTTCCCGGAAAAGCTGATAGACACAGAGTAAAAACAGGTGACTTATTTGCTGCTGTTTTCTCAGCCTGGAAGTCAGCAGAGAAACCCCTTTGCTCTGCATCCCTGGCAGGGATGTCCTGTGGCACAGGGAGGGTACCAGTGTTCCAAAAACCCACCGTGACTCCCAATTTCACGGAGACTAACCAAAAACTCTCTGTTTGCTCTTTAGGTGATTACTTTGGCATCCTGATGGAGGCAAAAGTGACCAGCTTCCCCTTCAGCGTCCTGGATAACCCCATGTACTGGGGCAGCACAGCCATCTACCTGGGCTGGTCCCTCATGTGAGTACCTGCCCCTACAAACACCTCCTGTTGTAGGGTGAGTGTGGGGTCTGTGTTTGGCAGGGTATGAGGTGCCAGGCTGCACTGGGGACCAGAGGGGCACTTGGTGATGGCAGCCAGCAATTAAATGGCAGGGAGAAAGTGCACCGTGCCCTGACTTCTGGCTTCCTGGCTATTTTTGTGCGTGGAAAATCTTGTGCTGTCATAAAAGACTCGCAGCTTTAGCTGTAGAAAAATAAATAGCGGCCAAGTGCTGGGGAGAGGAGGCATCAGCAAAATGCTCTGCAGCTGAACGAGTTCCTTGGCAGGCTCTGCACGTGGAAAAATCAACAGTCAGGGCCAAATTCATGCAGGGTGTCACTCTGCAGGGGCAGGGCATTGATATGGGGAGCAGTGTGACCCTGCAATTACTCCGAAAAAAGCAAAACAAGCCAAGCCACCCTTCTCCCCCACTGCACGGTGATAACACTTCCGAAACCCTTCTCCTGTGATACAACACAGCTTAATAGCCTGCTTAGGAGGAAATGAATAGGCTGTAATTTAGCAACAAATGAGCAATATGCTCTATTCAGTGTAACAAGTTTGATGTGGTTTTCATTTAATATCACATTTTATTTATTTGCCCAGGAGAAAAAAACCCGGCTGTGTTACTTCAGGAGCCTGTGGAGTGTTGTGGGCTCTTATCACTAGATATTTTGCGCTGGTGCTCCTGACTGTGACCACCTCTCTTCTACTCGGGTGAAAAAAATGAAGTGCTTTGCCACTTTCTAGTCATTTTTTTCAGCCATGTGTACAGCCCCTGGTAATAAGTAAAGCTGATGGTTTCTCTCCTGCCTCCACTGAGCCTTGTTGCAGTTCGTTCGGCACTTGAAACCCCCCCCACAGTGCCATCAGGGCTGGTTGCATGAGGCTGTTACCCTTCCTGGCAGAGCCACGGCACTGGGTGGGGGTGTAAACCCTGGGAAATGGTGCACAAGGGCCAGAGCAAGCTCATTATGGACAGTGGTGGGCAGGATAGTTGGCCACAGGGCTGGCAGCAGCACGATGGAAGCATGGATATTGCTGGGGAGAGAGGGACAGACCTGGGGCAGGATGACCCCCCCCATTGCACACCACGACCCCCACAGCAAAGCAGAAGGAGGAATTAGACCAGGAGGAATTACAAGGAGAGTTTTTATTTGTTTTAAGGTCAGCAACCATCAGCTACTCCCTAGAACCTTTGCAGAATCCAGGGAACCCTCCTGAGCTGTTTCTGTCGCAGAATCCCTTCTCACTCCTCTCTCTCAAGGTGCACATTGTTTGGTCTTCCACCACCACAATTCTGGGCAAAAGCAGCTCTAAGCAGCTCGAGACAGCGGTGATTGCCTCCTTTCTCTCGTTAAAAGGCTGCCACCATTAAGGCCAGCGAGGCATGACAAATAATTGCTGTTAACAAATGGCTGGAGCTGTGCAAAGTGGCACCAAGGCACCGCCCGCCTGCCCGGGGGAAGCTCAGCACAACCCTTCTCGCAGTGGTTTTGGCTGTTTCTCTTCCCTGTGATCTCAGTTCACAGAATCATGGAATCATCTGGGTTGGAAAAGCATTCTAAGATCATTGAGTCCAAAAATTAATCCAGCACTGGCACGCTCACCGCTAAACCATGTCCCCAAGTGCCACATCTACACAGCTTTTAAATCCCTCCAGGGATGGTAACTCCACCACTGCCCTGGACGGCCTATGCCAGGGCTAGCCAACTCTTTTGGGGAAGAAATTTTTCCTAACATCCAGTCTAAACCTCCCCTGGCACAACTTGAGGCTGTTTCCCCTTGTCACTTATTCCATGGGAGCAAAGACCAACCTCCACCTGGCTCCCCCCTCCTGTCAGGGAGTTGTAGAGAGCAAGAAGGTCCCCTCTGAGCCTCTTTTTATCCAGGCTGAGCCCCCCCAGCTCCCTCAGCCACTCCTGGTGCTCCAGACCCTTCCCCAGCTCCATTTCCCTTCTCTGGACACCCTCCAGTTGCTGAGGGGTTTTTTTGGGGAGTCCCAGCTCTATCCTTAGGTCCCAGAGCTTGCAGAAGTTGCTGGTGTCTGCCCTTGGAAGCCAGAGCTAAAGTCTCAGCTATTTGGTAGTGGGAGGGATGCTGGAGGAATGTGTTTGCCATCTGTTCTGGTCAGACCTAAAACACAGAGCATGTTTGTCCTCCCTTGGTGATGTGTCACACTCCACATCACGGTGTCAGAGCCCAAAGGATTGATCATTTTCATCCATAAGGTCTTATAAACACATCACATAAACCAGCCTGCCCTCTGACTTCATTCCAGCCTTAAAAGCATCAAGTGGGGCAACAGCCCACTGGCCATGGGGAGCTGCAGCAAGGCTGGGGATGGACAGACTTCCTACCCCCTAAAAAAAAAAAAATCCCTACCAGGACCACAAAACCCTCCTGGCTGATTCATCATCGATGCTGCTACGATGAGTCCCTGCCCAGTATGTAGGTCGAGCTTGTAAAAGGAGAGAAACAGTTCACCCAAATGCTGCTCATCACCTGCATCCAGCAGCCTCGTTTCTCCTGCAAGACAAATGGAGCATTCGCTGTTCAGGGACAGCTTTGTGTGCCTCTGGTAGGGAAGTGTTCTAACTCACAGCAACAGGCTGTGTAAATCAGAGCTGGAGCCGCAGCCAAATGATGCAATTAGAGGTCTTGCTGTCAACAAACAATCATGTAAATTTGTTCTCTCTGATAGGAATCAAGGAGGAGACATGACTAAGCATGTAATAGCAGGGGGTTGGGAGAGGAAGAAGTTGCCCGAAGCTTCCTAATGAGGGGAAAAAGTTATTGCAAAATGAAACCAGTGAAAGGGTGAAGATTTGTGGGTGCCTCTCCAGGAAGTGATGAAGCCAGGTGGTACCTGAAAGGGGCTCCAGTACTAGGTTTAGGTGTCTCAGTCCCTCCTCTGTAGGCATGTTTTCCCAGCAGCACAAGTCATAGAATGGTTTGGGTTGGAAGGAGCCTTAAACCTCATCTCATTCTCACAGCTCGTCTCTGATTTTGTGTTTCTGTGACACCTCTCTTCAGAGCAGGAGGTGATGGGGATTTTTTGGTCCTAATTCTTTGGCCTCGGTGCTAAAAGGCACAGCCATCTCCACTGCATCCACAGTTCTTGATCACCTCTGCCCAAAACCAGGCAGTGCAGAGCAGTGGGTGGCATTGGTCCCCTGTGCTGTGCCTGGTGACATCTTGCTGGGGGACACCACTCCACTGGGCCTTGGGAGGTGACAGGACACGTTTCTAAAACATCTTGAAATGGGTTTAGAGGTGAACCAAGCCCCCAGCACCCAGTCCAGACACAGCACCCACCCCAGCACCTTTCAAAAGGTAGACATGGACCTTTCTCATCCCTTTCCATCCCTATCCCTGCGATGGCTCAGCCGCCACTTTGATCTCCAGGGTGCCACACACTGCTCTCTCTGCCAAGAGTCCCCTGCACCCTGGGTGGCTCATCCTTCTGGGACATCAGGCATTTCCCTCAGAGCATGGGTTGGGAGCCACAGCCATACTTCAGCAGCTGCTCAGCCCTTAAACATCCCTATAATCTCAGGATTTAGCATCAAAGCAGCAGCTCTTCTAGCAGAGACGTGCAGGGATCAGAGTTAAAGTAAGTCACCGAAGTAGGCTGGGGAAGAGTCTTTGCCAAGGAACATCTGCCTAAGACAGTTAACATTGAGCACAAAAAAAACCCACAAAAAACCCAGCCCTTTTGTTTGCTTCTGTTTAATGAGTGAGAGCTCTCACGGAGCCCAGTGTGTCATTTCACTTTCTCAGCCAGGTCTTGCATAAGCCCATGTACTTACCTGATCTTTCCCTTCTCTTTCAAAACAGGCACGCCAGCCCAGCTGGCCTTTTGCTGACAGCTGTAGTGGCAATTTCCTACACAATCGCCATGCTGTACGAGGGGTGAGTAGCTGTGCAGAACTGGAGAGCTTCTAATTATTTCTACCGGCTTTAACTCCCGAGGTTTCGGAGAACTGCACAAGCAGAGATGATTTTTTCCAATTAATTCAGCAGGGGAAGAAGGAAAACAGGGGATTGTTTTTCAATTGTTTTGATAATGGGCAGATTCCGCTCTGAAACTATTTGCTGAGTTCTAGGAACATTTGTGCATTGGTTTGTTTTTTATCAAAATGAGATCTTTTTTCCTTTTGGATGCCTGATTTTGTCTATAGAAGAACAATAAGGAAGGCAGTGAGATGGCTCATTGTGTCCTCTGAAGAGTCCCTACAAGAAGTGCTCGCATTTTGTAGTTCTTTGGATGGGCTTCTCTGATATTTTGCACCACAATAGCCCGGCAGCAGAGGATGGAACAGGCTGGAATAATTCCCAGAAGTAGCAGTTGTGCTTCAGCAGTGAAAGGCCTTTTGTGTTTGCAAGGGAGGAGGAGATGCAGAGAGGCCAGGTCTGCATTCAGGGGAGTCTGAGTGTGTGCTGAGCCTTGTCCCACTCGGCACAGGGATGGACCTTGGTGGAAACAGCTTGTAGCTGCTCCACAATCCAGAGAGACTGAGACGAGGATTGCCATGGCACAGAAATAGTCAGGCTGTGCCAGCCTGTGAAGGACAGAGTTTCTGGGTGTAGAGTAATCTTGATTTTAATTCTTCCTCCCTGCCTTTGCCCCTCTCTTTTGTCTTTGTCCCCTCTCTCCCCAAATTCCCATCCTCCTAACTGCAGGCCTTTCACAGAGGAAATCTACCGGCAGAAACAGAAGGGAGTGAAGAACAAGTAGCCACAGGTACGTTTGCTGATCAGCAGTTTCAGCTGCTTTGCCAGGCTCAGGCTCCCCCACCTACAAGCACCCCTGCCCAGCCCTGCCTTCCCTGGCTCCTCCAGAGCCTTTCCCACACTTCTCAAGGCCTTTGAGCTTCAAACCTCTGCAAAAACTCAGGCAGGAAGGCTTTTCACAGCAGCAGTTTTGTCTGCCTCCTGGCACCCGACCAGCAGCCCCCGAATTGTTTTGATTATACCCTTGAGAATCAGTGCGAGGGAAAATTGCTGGGAAGCTTTGAAGCTCCAGGCTTAGTCTGAATCAGGCAGAAAAAAAAAAACAGGTATTGGCCATGGCAGGTGCTCCAGTGAGGGACAGGGATGGTGTGAGAGGGCATGTGTGCCTGGAAATCAGGCCTCCCTGCTCCAACTGCTCCTCATCTGAGCCAGGAGCATTTCTGCACATGGGCTCACCCTAAAAGCTCAGCCCAGGCTTGTTCTGGGGGCCAAAGGCTTCTGCAAAAGCACAAGTTCCTGGCCAGGCTCCTTTCCCTGGGGTTCAGTGCCACCCCTGGAACCCCCAGTGCATCTCCCCACTGGTGGTTGGAGAGTTGGGAAAACCCCACAGCACTGCTGAGGTTTCGGCAGCCCCGTAACTGCTGCTCTGATGGAAATGCTGTGGCACCACTGAGGTCCCTCATGGACTCCTGTCCCTTTGCCTTTTGCAGATCACTGTCTCGGGTACCTCGTGCCTCTCTGGTCCCCACACTGTCAGATTTGCCTGCTTTCCTACTGAGATGTATCCTACTAATTAGCCCAGCAAACCTTTAATGAGCAGACCGAGCTCCCTGCAGCACTGGAAGTGATCAGAGGAACAGCCCGAGCGTGGTGGCATCTCCTCACCACAGCCCACGGGGGATGGAGGTCCCTGCCCCCAGGTCTCTGTCCCCAAATCCAGGTCACTGCAGCTCCTGATGCTCTCCCGGAAATTACACAGTGCGGGACCTCCTGACCTCTTGTCCCCCAGAGATTGTTGGAGATCTCCAGGGGAAAAAGCAATTCCCTCTGGACTGGAGGGATATTTCATAAGTGAGCTCTGAGCATGGGGAAGCACCGGCTCCAGCTGTTCCTGAAGACCATCTGAAGATGCTGCCAAAGAGCCACAGTAAGCAGACAAAAGCTTGAGTGAAGCAATGGAGAGGGTTCAGGAGCCCCTGAGGATTCAAACAGAGCTGGGGAAGGAAGAGGGGAAACTGCTGCAAACTCAACAACATCAAAACACGCTGCAAACCCAACAACAAACCCCCTCTTTGTTGGAAGAGGGAACCTCCCCATCCAGAGCTGCACTTTCCCACCTTGCAGAGGTCTCCGGCCACACAGAGCCCTGCAGTGTCTCTGCACTATTGCAAAGACTCAGAGAAAGGTGACTGAAAAGCACAGAGATGTGAATGTATGAGCTAACCCACTGCCCAAGGGGGATGGAGGGATGGCAGCTGTCCCATGGGGAAACCCTAGCCTGGAGAAGCCCCAGGGGAAGAGGCACCCTGCAGATATCCCACCCCTGGCCCCCTCCACATCCACCCAGTCTCTCCTTTTCACTCGTGGGCCACGTGAGGGTCCTTCTGCTTTCCCCAAGCACCCAGTGCCTTCCAGCTGTTTTTCACTGCCTTGCAGGGACATGGGTGGGAGGGAGAGAAAGGGCTGCCTCGGCCTTCCAAACCCCGCAGCAGCCAGGTACAGATCTGCCCCTCCGCCCCTGCCGCCAGCCTCGGCAAGTCCCACAATTGCCCAGTGCTGGATCCTGCCTCGAACGGAAAGACTCCAGAAGTGATGCTCCAGACCCCAGCTCCGTGTTTACAGATTCCCAGAACAGTTTGAGGAATAAACTGGAAATGACCAAACAAGCAGCAATGGCGTTGGAGGAGGAGCTGCTCCCGCACGGCCACCGGGATGCGGTGCCGCATCTTGGCATCGCATCGTCCTCTCCCCGGAGGGTCCTCCCCCTTCTCAGTGTCACCTCCACCAAACGGTTCCATTTCCTTTTGCTTTTGCATGTTGTAATTCACCCTCCAGGCATTGCTCAGCAGGAATTAAAAAAGTGTTGGCCTCTTTTCAATCCAGCCTCCCGTTTCCTCCGGACGGGCTCACGGATGCTGTGTTTGTGTTTCATCATTTTAGGGCCATTACACGTAGACTAATTTTTTTTTTTATTGCCTTCTCAACAACCTTCCTCTTAAAGATTTGGGCATAGTATTTTATTTTTAGATAAGTTTCCACATCCCCTTCACAGTTAATGTTTATAGACTCAGCCTAAACCAGCCCAGTACCCATAGCAACCAGTGAGGAGAGGATACATTGCATTATTCAGACAATTTATGTCAGAGTTGCCAGTCCTGGCTCAAAGTCTCTGATGTCAATAAACTTGGCTTTGTTGATAAGTGAAATCAGTATTTACCGCAGAGACACGTGCTTGGTCGGGAAGAATTATTCTTAATGAGAAGACAGCAAGGGCCGTATTTGTGCTGTCCCATTCCCCATCTGGGACCCTTCCCTGTCCCCACTGCAAGGCCAAGGGGGGCCCCAGTTGTGCCATTCCCCTCCCCAGCCAGCATCAGCCTCTTAAAATGTGTGTCTGTCACCCTAAATCCCTGTGATGGAGCTGCTTCCCATCCTGTGCCCACGGCATCCCAAAAAACACGGGGGTTTGATGCTGTACCAGGACCAGCTTCACGGACTCCTTTCCCATTGATCTGCCATTTCCAACCCTTCCCACTCCCCAGCTGTTCTGTGTTGGCTTTGCATTGCACAAGTGTTTTTCTGGGGTTATGCCAGACGCATCCCTGCTTTTAGTAGCTCTTCCTGCAGCAGCCAGCACGGATTAATGTGTCGCTGCCTTTGTAGAACTGGCTCTGGCTGCCATAAAGTTGGTAGTCTGATATTTTAGAGGCATCTGCTCTCTTCCCTAAAGCAATCTGAGGAGCTGGAAGGTGATGTTCCAGCCCATATCATGGGACCCAAGCCCACCTTTCTCCCCTGGGCAGAGGATGGCCCTGGCCAGGACCAGTCCTGGGTGATGCTGTGCTGCTCCCCGGGGCTGTGGGCGGGGAAACACAGACCATTGTTTATGTTGTTTTATGGTACTTAACAACAAGGGATTAGGGGATTCTCTTTGGTTATAGGGAAAAAAACTGTGATTCCAATTACCTAATATTTCTAAGAATTTGAGATTCTAGAGGGAGGGGATGAAAACTTCAGGCTGAGCATGAAGCACTGATAATGTCACAGCTGTTTGCCCACTTCCTGGCTGCAGCTGGGACATATCCTACATTGATGGACCTCAGGGCCTGCAGGTCAGAACACGAGTCCTGCTGCTTCCAAAGGAGAGACCTGCACTGTGGGACCCTCAGGACCAGCCCCTTGCAGCCTCAGCTCTGTGCTGGCCCAGGTGGGTGCATCCCTCCAGCTCTTGCAGAAGCATCGAGGACCAAATGAGGTCCCTGGAAATGGGGTCATGGAGCTATTTTCTTAACTTCATGGCTTCAAAATCCGGTGTGGGGCTTGCTGGGCCCACTGGAGGTTGGCAGGGGGGGTTGTTTGCAGCCTTGGGAATTGCCTCACGTGAGGCTGTGTGCTGAGGCCACAGATAACGCTTCCCTTGAAGTTTGGGATATTTCTCCAGAGCAAACACCAGGAAAGGAGAAACTAGTTAAATCACAACTGCCTGGCAGGGACAGCTGCGTCACCAAGGCCATCGCTCTTCACTGCCTCAGGTCACCCTGTCCCACTGCACAGCCCCCACAGCAGCTGTGCCCACCCTCCTGGGGGCTTCCTCCCCACGCTCACTTGCGTGGCTGCTCCACGCACGAAACTGTATGTGACAATTTTTTGGGGGGGGGAAGAGGAGAGCACCTGCACAAACCCAAACATCCCATCAGCGCGGGGCCAGCTCCGCACTCACAGGATGCTTCATCCAGGAACGCTTCGGGGGACGGAGCCCGCATTCTGTGGTCCTTTCCCCGATGGCGGTGGCATCCAGGGACACGTTCCCAAAGGCCCCGCCCTCCTTTGTGACCGCCCGTAACCCCCCGTGTTTGCTTTTGCCCAGCGAAGCTGTGCTGCCTTGCCCCGGGGGAGGGAAGGCCAGGGGCCCTTTACGTGGCAAACAACCCCCGGAATAAACACATGGCGCAATCGGGGGCAGCACGCGTGGCACGAGGCTCAACCTCGGCTTCTTTGCCTGTGGTTGGGATTTTTTGCTGTAAAAGCAAAGATGAGCTTTGAGTACAAGTGGTACAGGAGCAGTTTGGGCACTTAATCCCTTAATCCAGAGAAGGTGGACAGGGGACACAACAGGACTTACCTTTACAGGGGAATATCCAGTCTCTTTGATCCCTGCTTATAGGGAAAACAATCTAGGCCTTAAATGGTCACAAAGAAATGCAATGGGAAGAGAACACCCTGGTGGGAAACTATTCACAGGTGGGAATCTATTTCCAAATGGGAAACCTCCAGTGCTGGAGCCCAAAAAAATGCCTGGGGCAGAACCAGCATCCTGGAGCAGAGCTGCATAGGCAGTGCTGGCAGGCTCCTGCTCAAGGATCTGGGATACAGGCAGTTCCCAACTCATGGGCGCCCAGGGGACGCTTTGAAATTTCCTGCAGCGCCAGGAGAGCAGCAGCACCCCATTCCCGCTGCCCCCCTGCCCATGGCATCACCCTGCCAGGGACAGTGTGGAGAGGACGCCATCCAGCCCATCCCAGGCCACCTCCACCCTCACCCCGGGGGGCTGTTACGCACGGAGCCCCCACCACGAGCCAGAGGACAAGTTACGAGGCTGTTTTCCTTAATCTTCAGCAGCCGCCTCGGGACAGCCCGGTGAGCTGGACACGCTGCGCCTCATCCTCCTCGGATCCTGTTTCAAAGACAAAAATGGTAGGAATGTGCTGCTTTTTCCATGTTGCGTGTTCTTCGGAGAGGAGCTGTTTACGGAGCACTGGGGCTCCTTTCCCGACCAGGGTCGCAGGAGGTCGCAGAGCCACCAGAGCCCTGGGAAGATGTCGGGGCCAGGCTCTGGCTGCGGTTCTGTGCTGCTGCTCCAGGGCTGGGAGCATCGAGGGCCCTCAATTTGGGCACCAGCTCAACCCTGGCCCAGCCCGATCCCCCCAACACCTCCAGCCCTGCGCCCGCAGCCCCTCTGGACCCACAGCCGGAGCTGCAGGAGCAGATGTGGGACCTGGACAGAAAACACCTCCAGGCTCCAAGCCCTCACCACCACTGCCCATTCCTCTGCCAGCTCCAGCCCAGTGATGCGTGCCCGGCTCCCTGCCTCCTCTTGGGCTTTAATTTGTGTCCTACAACCCTGGCAGCCACCACTATTTCCATGGGAACCTTCCTGAAATCCAGCAATGTGTCCGCTGGGGTCACTGAGCCTCCCTCTCCCCTGTGCCTTATATTCCAAGCCCAGTTTCTGCCCATCTCCAGTTACAGGTGACATTTCTCTCTAATCCCAGGGAAGCTGCTGCTCTTTGGAAAGGAGCAGAGAGTGCCGGAGTTTGGGAACACATCCAGGACATGCAGACACCTTTGTCCATTGGATGCTGGCAGGATGCTGCTGCGTTGAAGTGAACTGTGGGCGAGAGGATGGCATGAGAGGGGATGGAAAGTGGCAGCAGGGGATTTCCAGGGTGCTCCTGGCTCGGAGTTGCATCGTGCCGGACACAAGGATGGCGTCTCTGAGGGAGATCCTGCCACCCCTTGCCTGGATGACTCAAGGAGTTTGGGACTTGATAAATGTCTCAGGCTTTCAAATTCTCTGTAATCAAATCCCAAAAGCTAAAAGTAATCAAGAGACATGAAAAGTGTTGCTAAAGAAGCAGGGGGTGGGGGAAGGAAACAAATAAAGCCACCCCCCCCGGTCCCCAGTGACAGAGCAGCCCACTTCTGCATCATATCTCATCTGGGAAAAATTATATGTTGGGAATTATGTGCTCCTTGTGAAAAGCCTTAAAGGAGATTTAATAAAATGAGACAAGCTAATAATATAGGGAATGAATAGCAACCCTGGATGCTGCATCTTGATTTAATCAGATGCTTTTCCCCAGGGGGACAAGCAAAAGCTATGGCTAAAGCCTCCCTTCCCTTCCCTACCCAGCTGCTCCCCTCTTCCTCTGTCTATCCACTCATTTTCCCATCCCAGAAGAGCAGTCAGGGTAGGATTTGGGGTCCCACAAGACCCCGCTGTCCACCAGCAGCTGCTGGGAAACACAGAGCCCACGCTGGTTCTTTGGGAGCA